CACTTTAACTCCATTTACGTGTTCACCATTTCTGAATTTTGAGTTTGCAGGTTGAGTTCCATAGAGAGATTCAAGCAAGTTCAAAGCTAGCTAAGCATTGGGAAAGCTCAAAGGAACTTCAAGCAAGCTCACCAGCATCTCAGGCCTCACTGAAAAGCTCTACATTGCCATACTCGTGTCCAACTGAAATAGGTTTTTCATCACTTTCTATCTCTCTATTTAGGAACATTTAGCCTTAGGTTTGTGAATGAAAAATGTAGTATTCAATGCCATGAAGCTGTACATATGCTCAGTTTGCATTTATATTAAGCGTGCTAAGAGAATTTCATCCATGAAAATGCTGAAAAAACTAGGTCAGATTTTAGGGCCAGAGAAATTCTCTCTGGTCTTTGAGAGTTAGATTTAATGCTTCATATGGTTAGAATCGTATTGAAATTCTCTACGAGTTTGATGTTGTGAGTTTTGGCAAAAGATCACGTTTCCAGGATGTTCAAGTTGGAACCAGGGCGCGCGTGCGTTGTACAAAGTCTGGAGGAAGAAGACGAAGTCTGGGCTGGGCCTGGCCTTCTTGCTGTCTGCACCCCCCTTTTGCTAAATGCACCCCTTGGCCCAATTTCTTGTATTTTTGTTATTTTTGCATTTTAATTTCATTTCTGACTTTGTTTATTTATTTCGAAATATAAAAAAAATGCTTTAAAATATTTTCACATTTTTTTACATTTATTTGGCATTTTATTTTATTATTTCTAACATTAAAACATTTTTAATACTTTTATATTATTTGTTTAAATTTAAAAGTAATGTAAATAATACTTTTATTTTTATTTCTTATTTTTATTCACACTAAAAATATTTTCTTGAATATATTTTATTTTTGTAAATATTTTATTTTTGTAAATATTTTATTTTATTTTATACATACTTAATATATATATATATATATACTTTTATTTTATTAAAAAAAACATAAGATAAAAATACAAAAATATTACATTTTTATTTTTATTATTATTCATACTAAAAAAAACACCTTTTTTTTAAATATATTTCATTTTTGTACATATTAATATATTTCTGTATATAAATAATATATAATATTTATCTTCTTAAAAGAAATTAGGGTTTACCCTAAAATAAAAAAAATTAATCCTTTTTTATTTATTTATTTCTTTACATTGAAAATATTTTTACATACATAAAAACTTCTTCTTTTTTTTTTGCATAATACATTTTATTCTATATTTATTTATTTTGTTTATTTAAATATTGTACATTTAAATATTGATGCATTTGAGATTCAATTTGGTTGTAATAACTTAGGGTTTATATTCCTTGTCAAAATACCTCTTATTCAAAAATTGTATCCTCATCCCCATAATCATGTTGTAATAGCTTAGAATTTAAATTCCCGCAGTTTTACGCTTTCAATTATGCCATGATTAGAGAATTAGGGTTTGTATGCCAAAATCAAATTAACAAATAGTTTGACCTAATCAAAGACAAAAATGCATGAAAAACAAACACAATGCACACTTGCACCCCTAGGCTTACAATCCACTTGTTGCCTTAAAAAATGGGTCATGGTATGCATGTTGAGTACTTTGGCAAAACAAAAACAAAACAAAAGATCATAGTCCTCGATGACACTATCTTGGTTGCCTAAACAAAAATGATCAAGTCCCTCAAGAAAATTGCCAAAAATACTTGACACAATTGCTATCACAGTCTATACGATGACCCGCGCCTGTCCCGTTTAACATCCTAACACAAAGTTGTTCACCAAATACAATGGTGAAACAACACTGTTAAAAGGGTTAAAAACATAAGAAAGATCTTTGAGTAAAATAGGGTAGATAGCTCTTAGTTACTTGATCAAAAGCTTGCAAAACATCCTTGCTATTTTCAAACACACTTCACAACACAATTTCAAAATCCAACTTTCAAACATTGAAAACTTTTCAAAAGACAAAAACATCTTTGTATACATTCAAACAAGAATCATTACAAAGGTTGCCACAACGATGGCGTCTTTTCAAAACATCTTTCAAAACCACACACAAAGCACCATTTCAAACAATTGAAAAGCACCATTTCAAACAATTGAAAAGCAAAGCAAGTGATCTAAACAAGTAACTAAGAGCCCATGGATAACCATGGATAAAAAGGGTGATAATACCTTCCCTTTCTATAATCTACTCCCCGAACCCAAGAAAACATCTCAAAGGTCTTTCCTGTGCTTTTTGACCTTTCCTTAGGATAAAATAAAAAGTCGGTGGTGACTATTGTTAAACCGAAACATTTGTGAACACAAACGCAAAACCTCAAGTCAGTTCTCCCACCGTATCACAATACCCAATAGTGACTTCAAATGATTATGAAGAGGAGATTGAATATAATCCAATACCTTATGAGCCAGAAAGATCCGACAGACAACAAACAACACCTGATAAGCCAGAAACATCCAACAGACAATAAAGGCTGCGTAGATTACCAGCCAGACTGCAAGATTGTGTTTTGGGTAATGATAATGACCCATCTGACGAGGAGATTATCAACTTTGTTTTATTTGCAGATTGCGAGCCTCTAAACTTTGAAGAAGACTCAAGTGATGAAAATTCGAAAAAACCCTTGAATGAAGAAATCAATGCAATTAAGAAGAATCAAACATGGGAGTTGGCCGAGTTACCAGCAGACAAGAAATCTATAGGAGTAAAGTGGTTATACAAGACAAAGTACAAACTCAATAGTGAGATTGATCACTTTAAAGCAAGGTTAGTGGCAAAAGGATACAAACAAAAACCAAGTATTGATTACTTTGAGGTATTTTCTCCTATTGCAATGTTGGATACAATTAGAATGCTTATTTCGATATCAGCTCAAAATAGTTGGAAAATACATCAAATATATGTCAAGTCTGCATTTCTTAACGGTAATCTGGAAGAAGAAGTGTATGTTGAGCAGCCTGCAGAATATGTAGTCAAAGAAAAGGAAGATAAAGTCTATAGATTGAAGAAATCATTGTATGACTTAAAGCAGGCGCCAAGAGCTTGGTATAACAAGATTGATTCTTATTTTGTATATAATGATTTTCAGAGATGTCCTCATGAGCACACGTTATATATCAAATATATTGATCTTGGAGATGTCCTTATTGTGTGCCTATATGTTGATGATTTGATTTTCACTAGAAATAACTCAGAGATGATTGCAAAAATCAGGGAGGCTATGATTCAACATTTTGAAATGACTTATATGGGCCTAATATCTTATTTCCTTGGTATTGAGGTCAACCAACAAAATGATGGAATTTTCATTTCCCAAAAGAAGTATGTAGGTGATATTTTGAAGAAGTTCAAGATGGAGCATTCAAAGCCAGTTTACACACCTGTTGAAGAAAAGTTGAAGTTGACAAGAGAAAATGATGGAAAAAGGGTTGACTTAACCTATTATAAAAGTTTAATCGAAAGCTTGAGATATCTGATTGCAATAAAACCAGATATAGTATATGGAGGTGCATTGCTCAGTAGATCATGGAAGAGTCACGTGTTAGTCATTTGCAAGAAGCAAATATGATTCTTCGTTATATGAAAGGTACACTGACTGATGGAATTTTTATGCTAGTAATAATGAAGTGGAACTTGTTGGATACATAGATAGTGACTGGGTTGGAGACATATAAACAAGAAAAAACACGCCAGGGTACGCATTTCATTTAGGCACAAGTGAAATTTCATGGTCTTCGAAGAAACAACCAGTTGTTGTGCTTTCTACCGCGGAAGTTGAATAACAACGAGTTGTGTCACTCAAACAATATGGGTGAGAAGAATTTAGAGGTGATATATCAGAAGCAGAAGAGTCCTACAAAGATATATTGTGACAATAAGCCGACTATTGCACTGAGTAAGAATCCGGTTTTTTATGGACGTTCCAAGCATATTGATATTCAGTTTCACAAAATAAGAGAGTTGATAGCTGAGAAAGAAGTGGTGATCGAGTATTATCCCACTGAAAAATAAATTGCATATATATTTATAAAACCTCTGAAGATTGTGTTATTTTACAAGTTTAAGAAAATACTTGGAATGACGCGAGGGAATGTAAGAATTATATCAAGATTTTGAAAAGATATTCTAAAATATGGTTGACTAGAAGATCTAGTTGGATATTAATATTTCTTCTTAATGACTAAGTTACATATAGCATGAGATGTGCTAATTCTTAATCTTTAAGAAAGAAGACAATTGGACCAAAGAGTAATGAACCGCTATATAACCGGATAGCTTACTTAATATGTAAGATTAGTTACTTAAAAGCTAAGCATGGAAATCCTATATAAAGGTATGATTGTTATGTTTTTGAGAAATTAAATAGTTTAGAGAGTTTCAATTTCTTCTTACTCTTTCTTTTTGTTGTGTGTGAGAAATTAAGTTTTTATTTTTGTCCCATTTGATATCAGGTGGTGGCTTGAATAAAAGTGGTGTTGTTGCTAATCATGGTGGTGGCTTGAAAGAAAATGGTGGTGTTGTTGATCACCTTGAATGAAGTGATGGTGTCGATAATCGTGGTGGTGACTTAATGATATAATAGTTCCATTATATTTTAAAAAACCCATTTATATAATGTTTTAGCAATTAAAATAATGATGAAGTTATTTGATGTGGATTGGATGAAATTCTATTATCTAAAGTGAATCTAAATTAGAAAATGTAAGAAATAAGTATTTAAAACTTAATTTTCCTACTATAAGTTATTATTTTGAAACATCATTATCTTCTATAGAATATTTTATAAAAAAAATATATGAGGGGGTAAAAATATAAGTAATGGGGTATGAAAAAAACATTTGATTAAAAAATGGGCTTTTGTATAATAGTGGTTTGATACAGAAAAATGGCCCAATAGAGAAGCTCAGAAACAAACTGCATTAGAGTTTTTTCTTCACCAAACAAAGTGAGTAACGAGTTGAGTTGAGAAACGAGTTGCGAAGGAAGAAGAAGAAGATGACGGAAACAAGGCCAGTTCCTCGGAGAGAGAGTCCATGGGGAATAACAGGAGAGAATCATCCTGAACCTAAAGCTCATCGATGCAATGATCGCGTTGAAGATGTTATCCAGGTTTTCATTCTATTACTTTTCGTTCCACTCAATTCCCTTTCAATTGAAAATTTCTTGTGTATGTCATTACTAGGGTCTGATCAATGGTATTTTGTTATTTTTTATTTTTTTTTTGGCTGAATTTTCTGGAAATTGCTCTTAGTGCTTGAGGCTTAGGGAAATTGGAATCGATGACCTAGCTTTTTTTTTTTTTGCATATGAATAATTGTAGCATGTTTGGTTTGGCTTTTGGAAAAGCAATGTAGAATTGATTCTGGAATTATTTTGAGGTGTTTGGTTCTTCTAAATTGATTCAGCCTCCAGAATTGATTTTACTTGAAGCTAGAATTTCTAACTTTTGAGTTTAAACATGATTTTGACATTGGAATTTGTTGTTACACTCATTTTTACATAGATGTAATCAAACATAAATAAATTCTGCCAAACTTAATTCTATCACAGTTTGATCTCGCAACTACGGTCGTTAGGGAGGAAGCTGGAACCACTTGATGTCAGAACTGACCCCTAAACTGGACTAAATCGGTGGTGAAAACTGAAAAAATCAATTTTATCAAACTCAAATATTTCAAAATATGTCCACAGTCAATCCAAACAAATACATGATGTTGCACTTAAATAAAAGATGCATAAATATAAATTAAAAAAGTAGCCTACTTAAAACTCAAAATGTCAATATTTTAAATAACTAACATGATTCATAGTTGCATACATTGCGTGAATGAGATGAAGGAACTAAGTGAAGAGCATAGTGGTTACTTGATGATGTTGGCCAGTGTTGTAAAATTGCAGCCATGGCGGATTGTGGTTGCGGAAATTCAAAATAGCGCCATGGAAAAGTTATGGCGTTGCGGATTTTGCATTGCGGCGCCATGGCGGCTGCCACCAGTTTAATGTTCATGGCGGCATGGCGGAAATTGCGGGTTATTTTTTAAAAAAAATCTGAAAATTTGTCTGTGTACTATTTTAGATTAAATACCAATAATCCTCATTAAATACCAATAATCCTCATTAAATACCAATATTACTCTGATTAAATATTTATAAAACTAAAACACGCTGCAACCTTTCTATTATTTACGTTTCTTCTTCCCCTATGTGTATTCTTCATCATGTTTTTTTCTCTTATATTTCTCTATCTGTTTTACTCTTGTTGTTTTTTCTCTTATATATATATATATATATATATATATATATATATATATATATATGCTTCCGCAATTTTCCGTTCCGCCATATTTTTATTGTGGATTTTTGGTTCTCCGCTATTTTCCGCAATCCGCCATAGACAACACTGATGCTTACTCTTGTTGTTTTTTCTCTTATATATATATATATATATATGCTTCCGCAATTTTCCGTTCCGCCATATTTTTATTGTGGATTTTTGGTTCTCCGCTATTTTCCGCAATCCGCCATAGACAACACTGATGCTGGCAGAGGGGTTACCTTTTCTTTCTTTCCTTTTGAAGCCATGAGTTGTGTCTTTATCTAGGTACTCTTAGTGAGGTTATATTGATTTAGGTGTTATAATACTCACTAACTGACTCGCCACTTCAAGTTTAAAAAGCTTGGCCACTGCTAAAACATATAACTCCGCTATTCATTACTTACTGCTTTAACCGATATATCAAATGCATTGTCGCTATACTGCTAATAACAGAGACGGCATATCGTATTGGCTTTCGAATCAGCCACCCCAAATTCCAATCCATTAGAAGGAGACCCTAGTTGGTTAGGCTTGTAGTGAAGTAGCTAGAAGTAAAGATCCTATGCAAGAGTGCGGAGTGATGGGAAAATGGCAAGAAAACTAAGGTGGAAAATTCCATCTGACGTCATTAGCGCTATATTTTTTCTTAAAATCGATAGAATGGATACTAAGGTGGAAAATTCCATGTCACGTCTGTTGTCATTTCAGCTTGTTCTCTATACTTTATCATGCTTCCAAATTCATTTAATGTAGGATTTAAAAGTAAACTTGGTGTTTTTACCTTCAACTCCCAAAGGTTTTGAAATGTGCAGGCTTGCTTTGAGGGAAACCCATTCAAGACTGTTCCAGGACCTTTCAAGCTCTTCTGGCAGTGCATGCGATCTAAACCTGGGTGAGATTACTATCTAGCTTGCAATTTTATCTACTCTTGCGGATATCATTGTTAATGAACTACGCCACTGAATTTTCTGGTTGTGGAATAAAGCAGCAGTTAAGTAAAGAAAGCTATCATTATCAAGATCACATGCATTAACAGTGCCGTAACTTGTTGAAATATGGATAAGCTTATGGTAAAGGGTTTGTCCTTAAAAGGTCTAAACTAACTACTGCTTGGGATGCTTACTACACTGAAATTAGCTACTCTATATTTAGTTTTTCACCTGTATTTGCATACCATGTCTTGGCTTTTCCCATACAAGTTTTCCATTTACTTATTGTATCATATGTTTCATTAGACTGCTTGTGAAATTTGTTTCTATTGCAGCGAGGAACCAACTGAGCCATTTACCTATTTGGATTTGGATCCTCCAAAGAGAGAGCCCGTAAAGCTTGAGTAGTGGCTCTTTTGCAAATGCTTCCAGAACAAGTTTGGCATTGCATGGTCTTTTTGTGGTTTCAACCTTTCTTTCCATGTTGTGGATGGGTTATGCAAAGACTATATGTGATTAATTGTCCTTGTTGCTTACTCCACTTTGCAAATTAGACATCCTTTGTATTTGTTCTACACTTGCCCAATAAAACATGGTCAGATCTTTGTTTTAGAATTACATGATAGTCTTTTGATTACTTATTTGATGTTACAAGTTCCACCAGTTTATGTTGGCTGGATTAGTTTTTGGGTTTCATTTTGTGTCGGAAATTTTAAGTTTATTTTACACTTGTACAGACTTGTAGTGAGTAATAGGTTCTCCAAAAGATTATACCGCGTTTTTTTACTTACATAAAATTTTCCAAAAGTACCTTTTTAATGATAAAGACAAATGGAATGTTTGTTATTAATGGATAAAAGAAAATGCAAGGAAGTAAACAACTCTTCCTTCTATTCTCTAAGAGCCAAACTCATTCTAACAAAAATATCACTTTTCGATACTAACTTACCGTCTATCTATTATTCTGCCTTACTCCTCCTAGAGTAACCTAACAGATAGGATTCCGAATAACTGTCTATCCACTCCACTAATCAGTCCCGTATAACATATAAATATAAGATTCAGCATAACTGTCTCTTCACCCCACTAATCAGTCTCATATAACATACTACAAAATTATGCAATTCTGCATAATTGCCTCCTCACTAACCAACTTCATATAACATACATGATTTTACATAATTGCCTCCCCACTAACCAGTCCCATATAACATAGGAGTATGTTCCATATAACATAGGAATTTGCATAACTGGCTCTGCCACCTCAAATGTCTCTTTCTTTCTATTTTTTCTAGCATGCATTCTCCATATCTTAGGAGCACCTTGTGGACTACTAGCCACATCATCATTTCTAATATTTTCCTCACTAAGTCCATCAATACCGCCCATTTGAGATACAGAAAATTGTGTGCGCATTGCAAACTCCTCTTCCCACGTTGCTTCCTCCATAGCTCCACCCTTTTAGTGAATGAGTCATTGCTTGACATCAGTTTCGCCTTTCTTAATGGTGTGACTAGCCAACTATGTTGTTGGTTGATCTAATATTCTACCCGAGGAAGCCATAACACCCAGGTACATGGTTGATCTACTATGAAATAATGCATAAATGTTTCTAGGCACCAATTAAAAACCTTTGTTTGACCATTCATTTGTATATAGTAAGTTGTACTAATTTTTAATTAAAGAGCTCACACCAGAAGTTACAGACAAAAAAATGGATTGCAGTCAGTCACAATAGTGGAAGGAATGCCATGGAGCCTTACCACTTCCTTTGTGAAAACTTGTGCTAGTGAACAATCATTTAAAGGACGCTTGAGAGGAGATAAAATGATTGTATTTGGACAATTTATCAACTACCATAAAGATCACTTCAAATCCCTTAGATTTGGGAAGTCAGGTGATAAAATCCATTGATAAATCCTTCCAAATCTGCTCTGGAACTGACAGGGGCAGGAGTAAACTTCCTAGGGTCAACAAAAACGTATTTTTGGATAAATTTTTTCATGCCAAATCAATATACATTCATAATCATATGTCTAAAAGTATGATGGAAACCACAGTGGCCACCTTAGGGTGTTGAATGAAATTCTATAAACGTTACAAGGATGCATGGCGATGTAACAGAAATTACCAATCATCCTTTATGTAGGAGCACATCTCTCACACAGCTGAAACCAAGCTTGTCTTGTTTTCCTTTTTATTAATGCACAAATTATATTCTATAACTCCACATCCTTCTAAACTTCCGCAATGATTTCAGCTCTTCCTATCCATTGTGGTATATGGATTAAAGATGTTAACTCCTCTAGCAGTTTGTAGACGATATCAAATTGATACCCCAATAATTTGGCTGCCCAGTTTTGTTGATTCATCGTGTCAAATTTTGATGTTTTAACAATTGTTTCAAACTCTTTTGGTCAGCATAAACAGAAAAAATTCCCTAGGAGATATGGACGCCGATGTTGGATGGCTAAAGCTATAGCCATGAACTTTTTCTCATAAGCCTATTTGTTGAGGTTTCCTTCTCCTAAGGCCTTACCGAAAAAAGTCATCTTGAATCAATATTGCTCATATTCCATTTCCAGATGCATCTCTCTCGATGATGAACTATTTTTGAAATTTTGGAAGGGCTAAAACATGGACTGTAGTAACCTTTTGTTCAACAAATTAAATGTTATTCATTCTTGTCTCCCCACTTAAAACTGTCATTCTTGGTTAGATAAGTTAGAATTTTATTCACTTTACCATAATCTTTGATAAACTTACGAGAGTACCCCGTAAGTCCCAAGAAATCCATCACTCCCCTGACATACATAAGTGGAGGTCATTATATTACACTCTTTACCTTAGTTGGATCCATTACCACTCCTTCCTTGGAAATGATAATGCCCCTCCTACTCCACATTAATTTTAGCAAAAGAGCATGTATAGTAGTTAATGAGTAATGTGATATACCTAACTTGGGCTATAGACAATGATATCGTTGAAAAATACGAACACATATTTTCTTTTGAGATTTTTAACGATATTATTCATAAGATCTTGAAAGGTTGAATGGAAGTTCATCAACCCAAATGACATTACAAGGTATTCGTAATGATCATTATGAGTATGAAACGTTGTCTTATGAATATATTCGCTTTTCACCTTACTTGATAGTATCCCGACTTTAAGTCTGATTTAGAAAAATTATATACACTATGTAATTCGTCTAAGAGTTCATCAATCACCATTATAAGAAACTTGTTTGAAATGGTTATCTTATTCAAATTACATAGTCGAGGCACATCCGCCATGTTCCATCTTTCTTCTTTACAAGTATCATTGAGCTAGAAAATGCAACTTGACTAGGACAAATCACTCTGGATTTCAACAACTCCTTAATTTGTGTTTCAAATCATTTTTATGAAGACGCGGATATTGATAAGAGGGGATATTGACATGCCATTCTCCTTCCTTGAGATGAATAACATGCTCATGCTTCCTTTTTGGGGGTAACCCATGTAACTCTGCGAAATATTTTGGCCTTCATGCAAATATACCTGCCATGAACAAGCCCCCGTACTGTAATTTTGGCCTTCCTAGAAATGTTTACAGGGCTAAGTGACTTCTATTATCACTCCTTTCACCAAGCAATTCCACCCATTGCAAGTTAATTGGAAAATACAACACCTTTTATCCCCAATAAACCCACCTAACTCTAATTGATGATATTCATGACATTTCCAAAACAATATCAATTCCATCGATATTAAACAACCATGCATCAATTTATGATGTCATATTTTTCAAACCCAACACCATTTTTCTGTAAATACCTTGAGCCGTGACTTTGAAACCATCTCTTGAATTGATTTTGAGAGGTGTTTCTTCTATTGGCCATCCCATAGCCTTCACCAACTACATGTATATTAAATTATGAGTATCTATTCTTTCTACTAACAATAACAGAGGAACTCCATGCGCCTAGCCTCCTAGCTTTATTGTGCATACATCTTTGGTCTTCACTGAAGCAGGTTGATCAATTTAGGCGAGACTCATCACACTCAATTCCACTTCTTCTTATCCCTCATCATCCGCTTAGCCATTAATGATTAGGGCGTCATCGCTGCTCACTTCATTGTCCTCCACTATCATTACATGAAGTTGCCTATCTAAGCTCTAGTGGCATGGGTTGTAACCACCGACATACTTGAAGCAAAGGTTTTTCGACCCATGCTCAACAATTTCCTGAGCAGAGAGGTGATGAATTCCACGATCTCGCAAATTGGAAAGGTGTGTGATTTCTCATCTTCCTTTGCATTTGACCTGACATGAATTATCATTGGCCCCTTTGACTACAACCCAATCATTACTTCGAATCAAATCCTATTTATTTGACCCATATCCCCCACCAATATGAGATCAAGTGTAAAAACTTGACCCCTTTCCCTTAGGTCTGTAATCAAAAGGCCAAAACTAACTGTTGAGAGAATGAAAACTCCATGGAAACACCATGGTTAAAGCTTGAAAATAATAAAATTAAAGAAAGAGAAATGTGTATTTGTGCAACTTGACTCATAATAAGATTACAATGCTTTATATATTCAGCATGAGGCTGCACTAATACTACCATATGCATGCAAACATTGGATTAATTATAACAAAATTTGAAATTATGTTATGTGTTATACCCTAATTTTTTACCTAAGATCCTACCTCTTTTTTACATCATTTCATAGCCTCAAGAGATCATCCCATCCATCCTTGTATCATTAGCCTCATAAGGATGCAATAGATGTATTGTTTGTTTGTTTCTTTCGTGTTGGACCAAGGAGCTCAAGTAGTTGATTGATCAAGGACATATGTGTTCCTCAATGATTCAAACTTCTTATTCACTCATGATGATCAATTGATTTCCCTTCATCAATAATCAAGCTTAAGTGTGCATCATTTCAAGTTCATCAAGTTTCAGATTCATCTGCATCTGAAATTAGGGTATTTGATCAAAGAGGACTTAATGTTGACTTTTGACAAAAACATGATCTAATAATTTGAAATATGATTATAGGTCCTTATATACTTCCTTATATCCCTCTCATGTGTCCAAATTGGTTAAAGAAGCTTGATCCATTGATAATTGATCATTTGAAATTCATCTGATGAAAAGTCAACTGCTTTGGGACAAAGTTTGACTTTTGAGATTTTTGGTCAACCATGAACTTCTCAAGTCAAGAATCATAAAAATATGGTTGATGGATGTATTTAATTAAGCCTAATCAAAAAAATCAAGGAAAGATAAAAAAAATTAGGGGTTTGAAATATTTATAAGTACCAACAATTCATGGTCATTTAACCAACTTTTCATGATCATATCTTCCTCCTCAAGTACCCCTAAACTTACAAACAGTGACTCTTTGAGAATCTCT